TTCCTTCCTTCCTTCCTTCCTTCCTTCCTTCCTTCCTTCCTTCCTTCGTGGTGGAGTCACCGTCCCTGGAGGCGTTCAAGGAACATTTAGATGTTGCACTGAGGGACATGGTTTAGTGGGAAATACTGATGATATGTGGATGGTTGGACCGAATGATCTTGGAGGTCTTTTCCAACTTTGGTGATTCTATGGTTATTTGATTTTCAGCCTAGAACTGTGCTGAGCAGTTCCTGGACAATTCAGTTTTTAAGACAAGCCAGGGACCGTTCCTATCCAGCACTCTGGTCAGCAGCTCTGGAGGCTAAGGGAGCTCAGGCATGAGCACATAGGCTTGTCCATATCAACCACCTTGGTACCAAAGAATGGTCCTACATTTAATTTGCTTGTATAGATGTAGCCCAGATGGCTTGTTCTGCTTCCACAACCACGTCCACCTGGAGAGCTCACTGGATGGTTTAACAGCCTTTACATTCACAGCCTGTCTTATGTACACATTACAGTTCACTGTACAGGAGATGAACTGTTGAGAAGATGCAGAGTATGATTCACTTGCAACTTCCACATCACTAAATCATCAAAGCCCAGGAAGACCCTTAAGTCTCTTTGTGCCTTTGGCTCTCATTAAAACTGCCATCCCAGGCTTAGTTTGTGCCATAGGGTGAGGCACCACAGAATGGACATAGGCAGAATTTATCACCTCCTTATTTCAAAAGCAAAGTGCTGGTTAGTAAACTGCTATCTGCCCTCCAGGCCATCATTTCATCTCATACAGTCACATCAAATCATTTCCCACTTCCACTCTGGTTGCAGCGCAGGGAGCCACAAATGCCATATTTTTCATTTACTGATTAATGTATGGGATTAATGCAAGAATGACAGAACTCCCAATACTTTGCTGATGTGACTCATACCATTGGTGTGGTGCTCAAGGATTTCTTCTGGCTATATCAGGAATACGCATCTTGTGTATTTTATTCTGATGGTTGTCTTCTATGGGAACGTGCTCTGTTGAGGTGCTTAAATAGGCAGCTAGGATCATTCTGCAGGCTGCAAGCTGT